ATATTGGGGGTATTGCTTTAAAACTGTTTCCCGAACTCTGACCAGAGTAAGGGCCTTATCAATAGAGGTATGCAAACAAACTCTGATTGACTGTAGGTTAGCAACATATCAGGTGGGATTTTTGCCTGGAACTGGCTGAGTCTGGCTTCTCACAGCTTAAAGTTGGGCATTTTGTGGTGGGAGGGACAGGGCTATCCCTGAATCTAGATTTCTGCCCAGGGTCTGGTGTGGGAAGGTCTCCTGATGAGATCTTGGGAGGAGGTATCATGTGCCTAGAGGTTGGGGCTGGCCAAGAGGGACCCTCTTCTTGGCATATGGGTAAGAGGCCTGGTCTATCTCAGGACACCAGGAGGCTCAGGCCAAGGAAGTGGCCCAGCTCTGAGGGGCAGGGCTAGTGGTATGCTGACCAGGCTTGGCCTCTGTATCTTCTGGCCAGGGCCCATGCTGCTGCTCACCCAGTGCCATGAATCTCACCTCACCTCCCTGTAAAGTTAGGGTGAGGGGCTGTGGGCAATGAGAGGGAGAGGTGAACTGGGGACTCATCAGCTCCCCACAAGAGATGTCTCCAACCTTGTGGAGGGACTCGGGTCCTTGCTTGATCAGCTGCCTGTGATAGGGCTGGCGAGTTCCCCTCTGAGTGCTTGGAAACTTGAGCAGGATGGGTGCTCAGGGATATTGGCTAGCTGCTTGATGCCACACTGGATGCTGGGGATTCTGTGCCCTACTGTGCCCTAACAGCTAGGACAGTGCCAGGCATACAGCAGGCAATGCTGTCTTGGGCTACAAGAATGGGCTTACTTCCTTTGCCAACTAAAAAATTAAAAGGCAGGAAGGAAGTGTTACCTAAAATCTTGTGGAGCTCCAGCAGAGTCATCATATGATACCAGGAGAATCAGGGTCCCTCTTGGAGTTTTTAGTCTTATTAATAAAAAAATATTTCTAAGGATGGACTCAAATGGAAGCTTGAGTATAATTTATTAGCATTTCAAAGGAAAACCCCAGGGCAAGAAATCTGTAACTCTCTCAGCTGTCTAGAGGGGAGCTGAGGAGGAACAAAAACCACCCCTTGGAGGGCAGCCACCTGTGGCAGACAGCCATAAGCTGTTGCAGGGAAGGGGAGCTTTAGAAAAAGAGTAAGGAAGCCCAAAGTGATAGTTAGGAAGTTTAAATTTGTTTATTTATGTTTATTTTATGTATATGAGTGTTTTGCCTCTATGTATGTGTGCCATCTGTATGCAATGCCCACAGAGACCAGAAGAGGGCATCAGATCACCTGGAACTGGAGTTACAGATGGTTGTTAGCCACCATGTGCTAGAACAAACCTGGGTCCTGTGTAAGAAGAGCCAGTCTCTCTAGGCCCATTTAAGGAGTTTAAAAGCATACTTAGGGTATGGCCAGTATCTGAAAGAAAAACACAGAGGAAGAGAAAAAGAAGTTATCACTTTTCTTATGGTGGTTTGGCGAGGCCTGTACTGGGGGCATGAATTCTGGGAAGAAAAAGCACATTATCTTAAGGTGAGCCTGCTTTCCTAGGAGGGGTCCCCTAGCCAGGTCTCTGACCTGCAATGCTGGATTAACCTTTAAGGAGACAAGGGCATGTCTCTACCTAGAGGTAGATACCATTCTTGACACAGGTAAGGTACTCGGTAGCCAGGAACTTGGCCCAGCCATTGTTTCATGGACATCTGCAAGCCAGGATGGCCTACACTGAGGCTCTGTCTATCTAGCACATGCCTTGGACTGGCTGCCCAGAGGGTCCACCAAGACAGTGGGGCACAGTGATAGGATCTTGGAGGGGGAGGTGCTGGACGGCCGCAGGAGGAGGGAGAGAAGGAGGAGTTGTTGAAATCAGTGGTGGGTAAGAGGTAGAATGATGTACTCACTCATTCTCCCCACCTTCTCTGGCAGAAGTGGCTCTCCTCCCCAGTCCCCTCATCCTCCTTCAGTCCCACTGGCCCCATGCCTGAGATCTCTCCCCTGGAGGTGCTGGACCAGGATACCAAGGCCACGCAGCTGCTCCTGTTACAGCAAGACAAGGTACCTTCACCCTCACCCGGGGGCCAGTCGCAAGCCAGCTGCTTTACCAACCAGGGCTACTTCTTCTTCCACTTGCCTGATGCCTTGGAGATCGAGGCCTGCCAAGTGTACTTCACCTATGACCCCTGTGCCGAGGATGAGGAAGACAATGGGTCTGAGCTGCCTTCAGGGTCTCCCCTCCCGTCCCTGCCGCCTCTGGCTGGGGAGGATGATGCCTATTGCACTTTCCCTCCCGGGGAAGACCTACTTCTCTTCTCTCCCATGCTTCTTGGCAGCCAGAGCACCACCAGTGCTGCCCTTGGGGGACGTTCTGCCCCTGAAGAGAGGCCGGCCCTTTCCCCGCAGGAGGGACCTCCTGCCCTAGCAGACCCTGATTTGGTGGGCTTGCAGTGCCCTCTGGAGCTGGCGTTGCAAAGGGGTCAGGAGGGGGTTCTTAATCATAGCACTGGGGAGGGGGCCATCGTCCCTGAGGCCAGCCTTTGCCAGCAAGGCCAGGACAGGGCTCTGACCTCTGGCCTGGCTCTGAACACTGATGCCTACCTGTCCCTCCAAGAACTTCAAGCCCAGGACCCAGCCTACCTGGTGTAGATGGATGACCAGGGTTGGGACGATTCCAGCCCATCTCCTGAGCCCTACCCCAGCTCTATGAAATTCTGCCCAGGCCTCACCTGTTCTCTAGTGGTGCTAGAGTGGATAGAGGGGGAAGATGAACTAAAGGCAGGACTTGGGCTACGCAGGGAGGTGGTCACCTATCCTGGGGAAGGAGTCTGTGATGCAACTGTTTTGGGGTCACTCACAATCCTGTAAGTAGTCCCGATAGATTTGCAGGTTCACCAAGCTGGACTTGTGTGGAATTGTGTCCTGTCTGGAGGGAGTAGACATTTGTTCATGTCTCCCCAGAAAAAGCTCTTGTGTAACCCTCACAAGGGTCCCACCAGGTGGCCCGGAACACCCCCAACCCCGCCATCCTGTGCCCCATGTCTTTGCATGCACTGTTCCCTATGCCTCACCTAAGTAACCAATGTATTTGCCAGCTCCACTTCTCACCTGCCGCTTCTCCCAAGGGAGGCACTGCTTCCTTAATGAGCTCGAACTTCTGGCTTCTGTGCTTGGAAGGAGCTCTTGGGCCACAGAATTCTAGGGAAAGGTCCTGACCCTTCTCCTGTGTGCTGTCTCCTGGCTTCCCAAGGCCGGGCTCAAGTATGGACACAAATATCTGCTGGGAGGGCTTGGGCTGCTGGATCCTTCCACACAGATTCATGAGGGAGCCCACTGGGATGTGATGTGAACCCTAGGTCTCCTAGTGGTCTGTCCCATGTTGTCAGGGATGCCATACCTGGGGGATACTACCCTACCCTCAGAGGAGAGCCCTGTTCTCTGCAGCTCCTCCAGCACAGGGCTTTACTGTCTCTCACTGTGCTGGCACAGTGCCCAGTGCCCACACCTGGGTGAATTACTGAATAAACTGGTCCCCCTCCCCCGCCCCACCATCCAGCTTCCTTGACCCTGGCCACAGCAGGAGTCTTATCTCTACTGCCCTTCTCATTGCTCTGTTCTGGGGTTGATCACACCACGGTGATCAGAGCCCATCTGCTCAAGAGCGCAAAGCGCCATCCTCAGCTCACTGATGATCCTGTAGCCGCAGTGCCTGCTTTTATAGGTCTTGCTTCCCATTGATTGGGTGCCTGACTGGCAGTCTATGATGTAGCTGGACACAGAAGCTCTGTCCAATTGCAGAGGCCAGGTCTGATTAGCCAATCAGGTTGTCTTTCAGTCTGGGGTCCTGGGAGCAATTATTTGGGGACAGTGCCCCTAGGGACAGCCAGAAAAGCTGAGCCAGTGCCTGCCTGCTAGGGGTAAGAACTCCTGTTTCCTTATGTACAAAACCAACTTTCCTTTCTTAAGGTAGAAAGAGCTTAATTATTCCCCTGCCCCCCAGCCCTTCTGCCATAGGATGTGTCCTGGGCCAAGGACTCCTCAGTCCTGGCTAGTGGACCAGACCCAAGTTCTGCATCCATACTTTACTGTGTTCTGGGCAAACAAGTCTCTCTGAACTCACTTGCCTTATAGGTCATACAGAAACAGTGTTTACTTTTACTGTCTGAAGAGGTCTGGGGAAGGTTCCTTTATTTGTAGTCCTCCCCATTTCAATGATCTTTGTATACAATCTTTGTAATTATTTCCTGAGTAGTTTTTAAACCCATTCACTTTATTTTGTTTAAATACATTTATTTAAGGCTTTTCTTTACAGTTATGTGAATGGAAAACTCAATTTTATGATAAATAATAGGCCATTGTAAAAAGATAAGTACAGTAAAATTAAATAATTTTTAAGTTTGGACTGAGGGTGGAGCTCAATGGTAGAATGCTGGCCTAGCTTGGGTTCTATCCCCAGCACTGCAATAAATCACATAAAGCAAAGCAATGTTTGATTTACTGACTGTTGAAAATCTTTTCTCTTTCTGGCTAGAAGGGCAATTAGCAAATGTTGGGAAGTTGAGGAGACCAAGGGGGAACTTCCTCTGTGAAGAAAGCAGGACTGTTAAGAACATCTTTTTCCTTAATGGGAATCAAGTTTCTGGAATTCCATGTGCAGTACCAACTGACCATCTCACATGTATATATTACGCCCCAGCCTCTCAGGGCTAGGCCTGGCCAAGTGTTACCCTTCCTTCCTTCCTTCCTTCCTTCCTTCCTTCCTTCCTTCCTTCCTTTCTTTCTTTCTTTCTTTCTTTCTTTCTTTCTTTCTTTCTTCCTTCCTTCCTTCCTTCTTTCCTTCCTTCCTTCCCTCCCTCCCTCCCTCCTTCCCTCCCTTTCAACTATCATGCCCTGGTAGGGAAAAGTGAAGCTAACAGCCAACAATTCCTGGCATTCATAAGGCTGTCCTCATGGCAGACACTATTCATAGAATGTACCTATGCATGGCAGGCATCACTAATAGACTGCATCTATACATAGCAGACATTGCTAATCAATTGCACTTATGCGTGGCAGATATTGCTAATTGATCATGGTCTTCTTCCCACAGATTTCACAATACTGTGTGGAGGGCAGCTCCCCAGTTGTTGAGAGCTGGCACCTGGTGACATGTCCAGGCCATATTACCTCTCAGTTTCCTTTTAAAAAAGGTGCTTCCCTTTCTCTGGCTGATTCTCCAAGCAGGGAGAACAGAGGTTGAGAATGTGTACCCTGGAAGACTGACAGTGCTGAGCAGGGGCCCCAGGAGCCCAGCTGTCCTCTGTGTCTAGTGAGAAACCTGAGCTGGCTCTGAGTAGAGAAAGGGGTCACCATATGCCAGGTGGAGATGGAGCTGTGGGCCTGCAGCCACACATGTCACCATATGTCATGTTCAATGGGGATTTCAGGAGAGGGACCAAGAGGGAGCAGCTGGCAGGGTGGTACAGGGAAGGGGGTACCAGGCTCACCCCAGTTAGATTACAGGGAGAGGCAACAGCTGGTGAGTAGGTGCAGTCCAGGCCTTGAAGAGCCTGCAGGTAGAGTGGGAAGCGAGGTGGGGGACAGTCGGGAGGATCTGGCGGTGCAAGGGAGGGGCAGAGAGGGAGCTTCCAGCCTTTCCAGTGTCCTTGTTAGGCCAACTTGTTCTTTCCCTCCCCATGCCGATTCTCTGCTCTTCTCTGCTCCCACCCTAAGCAACTTCCAGAGCCCACAGCTCCTGGGAAAATTATGTTGGAACTAGTTCATCCAGTCTAAGAAAACTCATGCTTGCCTTGCTCACTGCCGTGCCTCAGGCAACTGGGAGAACCCCAAGAAAGCAGAAGTAGAACCAAAGCAGTCCAGGCATATTTAAGGCCAGTGTGGTGGCTCATGTATGTAATCCAAGTTCGGGAGATGCTGAGGAGGAAGGACATTGAGTTTGAGAGCAACCTGGCCCACATAGTTGAGTTCCTGGCCAGTCTGGGCTACATGGGAAGCCCTTGTCTTAAAAACCAAAACCAAACCAAATAAACAAAAAAGAAGCACACTTGCCGGGTGTGGTTGTGCACACCTTTAATCCCAGCACTCAGAAGGCAGAGGCAGGTGGATCTCTGTGAGTTCAAGGCCAGCCTGGTCTACACAGTGAGTTCCAGGCCAGCTGGGGCTACAGGGAGACCGTGCCTCAAAAAAAAAAAAAAAAAAAAAAAAAAAAAAAAAAAAGCACACTTAAAAGGGGAAAGAGAATAGTTGTGTGTACCAGACTGTGCCAGGCCCTTCACAACTACCACCTCTCATCATCTGAAAATGAGACCCTGGAGAGGCTCATAAAGTGGGGTTTGCCTCCCACTTTATGGATGAGGAAACTGAGGTTCAGAGGAGTTAAGTGATTGGGCTCTGCTAATTGGTAGAGTCAGGGCTCCTACTCTGTGCTCCTGGTTCAGAGCTCTGGGACCTTTACAAATGCAAACCTTCCAGGAGACAGTTTCACCAAAGGCAGACCACCAGAAAGTTTTGGTCGCAGCCCCTGGCAGCTCTGTAGGTCACGGCGTGGGGCAGAGGGCCCGGCTGGTGGGACAAGCCAGGGGTGTTGGCCTCCTCCTAATGACCTGAGCCTCCCTCTACCCACTCACCCCGTTCCAGCACCCCCCAGGCCTGGCATCAGCACATGTCACCTCAGCTTTCACTCTGCCCCTCCTGTCCCCATAACTAGCCCCTCTACCAGGCCTGTCCAGCCTTTTGACATTGCAACACGTTGTCATCTACAAAGTTCAGGATTAAGACCCATATAGTTGGGGAGCGATGACTCGGTGGGTAAGAGCACTTGCTGTTCTTGCAGAGGACCTAGGTTCCATTCCCAGCACCTACATGGTGGTTCAAAACCCCCTGTAACTCTAGTTCCAAGGGATCTGATGCTGTCTTCTGGCTTCTGTAAGCAACAAACACACATATTGTGCATGCAGGTAAAACATTCAAGCACATTAAATAAGTAAATAAACAAATTTTTAAAACACACACAAATTTTGTTACAAAATTTAAAAAAATCTTATTTATTTATTTATTTATTTATTTATTTATTTATTTATTTATTTA